ACAAGTAAGAGCAAAATTGGATAAAATCTGAAGTAAGGGATAAAGATTATGTGAAGGACACAGAAATAAAAATTCCTGGGTTTTCTCATTCCATTAGCAAATTCAGTCAGAGCAGTGAAATCTCTTTGACTGTGGAGTCTCAGTTGAATTGTGCAAGTATTGTTCCCTGCTTGCTTCCAGTCTTAAAATCAGTAGCTCTCTTCTGGTGTACCAAGAAACTGTCTTGAAAGCATCACTACTAAATAAATCTATAATAATGGAAACAGTTTAACACCATATAAAACCCCATAATTGCTGTAATGTGAACAAGGTTATTTTAAAGTTTTAAACATCCAAATGATTTAAATTTGAGTAATACTTGTATAACTTTCCAACCAATTAATGCTACTATTTAATTCTTGGTTATTAAAAAACCCCAAAACAGCAATACTGAAAGCATTTCTCCAATTTCTTACTAGTGTGTCATTGATATGAAATAAGGGGGGATTGTAAATTCTTTAAAAGGCTAGTTGCAATAGAACCTGAAAAATGTAAAAAACATTTATTATTTTCAGTTTCTTTTGGCAAAACTCTTTTGTTTTCATTCTTTAATTAGTCTCTTAGTTTGAAAAGATTCTCCCTTCCCTCTACTCAGTAGTTTTCTAAGACCAAAATTTTCTTTTAAAAGCCATTTATGAAAATAGTGCTCATTATTAATAAAGCTATAGGACAAAAATGCACCCACCTTCTTTGGATAAAACCATAAGTAGGAGAAGAAAGGCAGCACAGAACTGGCTGCAGCTACACGTTGTGATTTCAGCTGAAGAGATTGGCATTGCCATCTTCCCAGCACTGCCAGCCCAGCCCTCCTCGAGGCAGCAGCTAATGATGCAATTATTCAATCTGTATAATCTGTTCCAAGAAATCTTAACACTTTTTCTATTTTAATTATTGTAATTATTACAACTTCTACTTAAATAAAGCAAGGGCTTGAGAAAAACATATGTATTTTTTTACCCAGGGTGGAGCTACATGTGACAGCAGCTGCCATTTTTTGAGGACATGTCCCATCTTGCCAGGTGTCTTTTTCACATAACAGTATATTTTCTTCATCACCACGACAACGCACTTCACTCCAGAAAACAGGAATAAGGCCTAATGCAGAAAAGGGTATGTGTTTTGCTGTACCTTTTTCCCTGTAAAAATAATCAGGATAGGGTATCAGAGTGGGAGGAAGGGAAGTGGAAACATTTTCTCATATATAAATCTCAGAGGAGAAGAGAAAGGGCTTTCTTCAGTGGTGTAAATTCATCACATTTTCATACAGTTCAGCATTGTCTTCTGCACAAAGAAAACTAACAGATGTGACCCAGTTCTCACTGTTTTGTTGTGGGATATTTTAGTACAATGACTGTTGCTGCAGAGCCAGCTACATTCCTGCTCTCCCAGTTCTTAACTACAAAAATCAACACAGAGTCCACAGTCCATAGGTGAATCTACAGTACCAGCCCACTGCAGTTACAGTTCCAGGAGGGGTAATGACACCAGATCTTTCTCCCTTATTCTGTCCTTTACTCCATGAAGACATAGCATGCTCAGCCCATAAATGCCTTGTATTGTGACTGTGATGATGGGGTTGTGCAACCACCTCACACAACATTAGATCAGGCCCCCATCCATTTTTCTCTATTCAGCCATTCCCATCCACCCAGAACATTTTATAAACAGCTCTCTTTTCCTTCTCATGCTGAATCTACAGCAACACTTATAGAGCCACCTTCTATTCCTTGCAAAGCACTGAAGTTAAAACAAAGCCCAAGTAGGGTGATATCAAAGGAACAGATAGATGGAGCACCTGAAAAGCACTAGTAATACCTCATAAGTTCACCTGGTGGTACAGAGATCCAAATTTCTGCAAAACATGCAAGATAGTTCAAACTTTTAGCCACTGTTTGCTTGGGGATTTTTTTGGCCTGGGTTCAGCTTTGAGCTATTTCTACTGAAAAGACAAAACCATTCACCTGTATTGCTGAACTATATTTGCTAACAGCGGTCTCGTTCAGCTGAAATGTTCAGGGTATGGAAAGCAGATAGGACTTACATGAAACAGAGAAGGAACTACTGCACGTAGACAGCTGAAATCATAAACAAAATCACAGCCTCCAGATGGCTGAACTTTTATTGCATCTAATCCTTATATTTTTATAAGTTGGCATGGTGCGTCCAGATTAGTATTGAACATTATAAACCAGCTTAGATTTAGTTCTGGCTAGCAGTCTTAAAAAGTGGATTAATCATTAGGAATGTCATGGTGCAAGTCTGCTATAAAAGCCTCTTACTGCTTGTAGCAAGCAAAACCAATGCTTTGGTATGTGAGTGAAAGAAATATTAGAAAGGCAATAAAAGCAGCCAAATTATGCTAAAGGGTGCTGTCGATTAACTCCATTCTGGCAGCAGTGGGAAGTAGTGGTCAGCAAGGACAGTACAGGGATTTTCAACCTGTCCAGTATGGCTGTAGCTCTAAAGTGTTGCCAAATGCCAAAAACGTAGGATGAGTTCCAGGTGTCATTTGGCATACTACTATGGGTGATTACTAGGATAACCCCTTGCCCCTGAGAATTAGGAGCCCATGTAGAGTCTAATCCTGGCCACATTTACATTGTTATAGATTCAGTAGCCTCACTGGAGGTGTTAATTGACTTAGTTAATCTCAGATGTGTGAGATCAGGACTGGACCATGTAATTCTGTCCATGTGGACATCTCCCATTTGTCCAGTAGAGGAGTCTGTCGAAGCTTGCTGCCCTATTCACACATTTCACTTTGAAAACAAAGCATTTGCACAGTCTGCTCCTATCCAGAGCCTATCTTCAGCTTTCTGAGGAAATACTCGTTTCCTCTTTGAAGGGTAATGCAGATGAAGCCAGCAAAGTATTCTGAGCAGAACAACTTCAGCATTCAAACACTTTCAAACAGAAAAAGCAATCATCAAACAGAAAAAGCAATCATCAAACACAAAAAGCTCTCAGGATTTACAAAGTAGATTGTCCTTTATACTGAAAAATAATGAAAATTATTAGACTGGTTTTTACTCAAACTGAAACTTACCCAAGTGCAAGCTGTCGACATACAACTGTCGCGTCATTATTGTCCCAATGGTTCCCACAGATTGTTCCCCAGATTCCATTCAAATAAACCTCCACTGTACCTTCAAACTCATTCTTGCCTCCCCGGAGTCTCACTGACCCTAGTTACCAAAAATTAAAAATAAAACAATTACACCTCCAAGATACTCTATTGCTCAGTTCATGCATCCCACACAAAAGACTCTGAACCTCATTTTCCCTTAGTTCTTGTTTCATGGATACTGAGCTGTTCCCAAGAAACATTCTGGCACACCTAACATTCTCATACAGTGATGCACAAATTAAGAGAACCCTTTTTTAACATGAGGAAAGCATTATTCTCCTCATACTGCGACTGCATCATATTTTTGATCCTTCTGATGCTACAACTTAAAGATATTACAAGGTATTTATAGACACATAATTATTGAAATGTTATTTCCTCTACCCAAATGAGCAAAATATATATATGTCTGTATATATATATATATGTATGCATGTGTATATTTGTATAAAATATGCTATACTTTTATCTTTCACAGAATTCCATTGACCTTAAGGGAATCAGAAAATAACCACATGAACTGCATAGCTTTTGCTCTGGCCTATGTTACATTATGCATGTCACAGATGACAGCAGTTTATTTTAGCCAAAGAATGCATTGGTTCATACTTTTCTCAGACAAAAAACCACTGCATGTAGTTCTATTAATTCATGAGAGGTCTTTACCAAATTCTCAGACAAAGCAAGCTAAAAAGCATAACAAATGGTCTAAAATAAGTGGGGAAGAAAAAAGTGCTTCTTAAGAGCTACAGAGCACAAAAATCTAAGAAAATTAGCAGATCTTGCAGTTTTGTATTCCAGTAGTTTACTTGAGATGTCTGATGCATCTTCTGTTGAAGTGGCACTGGTAAAGGTGGGGAAAAGCTGGTCATAGGGATAACTACACAGAAACAGAAAAAATCATGACAGAGCAGTAACTCAACAAGAAACATTTCTGTTAAATTATCAAACACAGCCCAGCTGTATGAATTCGTATTGCCTGAAATCCCAGTTAATCCATCTGCCTCTGTTCTGTGATCTACTTAGAAGCTACACCATCATCCAGTTTGCAGGGGTTTTGCAATGGGATGAAGATAGTCAGTGCTTGTGCCTACATTTCATCGTGTCTGTGTTCATCTTTGTGTAAATAACAATAATAAAAACAATAATAACGATAATAATAATAGGTAGATACACATTTTCTTCTCAGCTTCTGTCCTGGGTTTAGTTCAGTGTATTTTATAAAACCACAAAACCAAGAAACTGCCAAATAACTCAAGGAATTAATTAACCTCATGTTTAGCTTGGCATGATCCTTTTTGCCTCCTATTTACTTTCTCAGCAGTAACTTACTGTGCACTAAATTACAAACAACATTTATTTGACTCATGTTACAGAGTGAGCTATCATTCCTGAGAGAAGATTATTACTGTGTCAAATATAACTATAGTGTAGACATGTTGCACATCATTTGTCTGTCTTTAAAATTTTTCTCTTTGTGTTTTTCTGTATGGGTCACAGACAGAGTTTGGAATTCTGTTTATTTCTGTTCTTCACCAGACTTTTGTATAGACTATTATTTTCACTTGAAACATCAACTGCACTCATAGCAAAGTGATTCCTGACATACCAGAAAGCAAGTTTGAAGATGTCATCTCCAAAAATAAGTTTATTTTAGTGCATGATTGCTTACAGTGCTGCATGACACCTACTGAAATCAATACAGTGCTTCCTGAGTACACATTACACAATGTTTCTATTCACATATTTGAATAAGGGAGTACTTGAAGAATACAATTTTTCTTCTAAAGTCTCCATGGCATAATATGGCTCACTCCTCTTTCTGTATTTACAGATTTCCCAATGACAGTGGTGGAAGAACTTAGTCGTGTACACACAGCAAAACACACAAGAGGATTGCTAAAGGTAATTTTGTAACCAATTTTAAATAGTCTTGATTTTTCACCTAGTTAAGTTAATCTAGAAAGAATCTAGAAAGAAATAGAAAGAAAGACCATTTTTACATGTAGCTAATATCAAGCCTGCCATTTAGTGGAGGTAACCAAATATAATGTATGTGCACTTTGAAGTATGTATCAACCTCTGTCATATGACTTAAGTTATATAGCAAACATATCAAAGGGTACTAATGAGAAAATTATTTCTCTGTTGTTTACTCAAAATGTTGCGGTATTCAGACACCTGGTAGTTATATTACCAGCTCATGTTACAGTAGTGATACCTCATAAAACACAACCTCAACATCAAGACTTTCATTACAGTGGCTTAGTTTTTCTTTCTGGTATATAAAAACTCTTTCTTCATGATGAAACACAGCTCTGTGTTTCCTGTGTAAATTGATCCTAGGGAATTGCAGGATAACAGCAGGATCTGCCATCATGTGTGTTTATGCTGTATAACCAAGTATCTGTTTATATATTAATATTTTAATTGCAAGATAGTGTTTACATTGTAAAATTACCAGGAAACACTTTTTCACTTCATAGGAAGCAAGAAACGTAGTATTTAACATGATTGAAAGGATACAGGTTAATTCTTATTTTCACTGGTGAAGTCTACTGCTGTTCCAATGTAAGGCCTCAAGCACCCAAACACGTGTCTCAGGGGCTTCCTCTGTGCTGCCCCTGGAGCACAACAACTCTGCCGAGGAGGGCCTGCATTCCTTCTTACCAAACATGTCCAGCTTAAGTGTATGCACTGGAGGCTCTAGGTTCCTGGAGTCAGAGATACAGTAGCATCTCAAATTTTAAAACTATAATTTTTCAGCACTTTTAGTTGCTGAAGAAAACTAAACCTGTTGAGAGTAGAGCTAATGCAGTAGTATCTACTCTTTCTACTCTCCACCAGTTCAATATGGTCTCAGACCTCTGCTTAAAGTGCTTATCAAACCTACTCTCCCTCAACAAAAGGAAACAGCAGCACCAGGATCCTGCCCGTGGCTCTGCCCTCCTCAGCACTGGTTAGGAAGAGGGAGGATGAGGAGAGGTGATGTGACCCCACAGTAGTTAGAAACTAGGGCACAGGACACAGGGCAGGCCTATGAGACAGCTCTAGACATAAACTGTGGTCTTAGAACAGGCTTAATTCAGCCCTTTATTAAAAAATACAATCTGCTGGCTTGACAGAAACTCCTTCACTTGTAAAAATTAGTCTAAATACTCAGAAAGTATATATACATTTATGTAATTTTGTTTTAGCTGAGGTTACTGATGGTCAGTTCCTGTTGTTTACATAATGTCTGGTAATTTTAGTTGTCCTGGTATCTGCCCAAGTCAGTCTTTCCTATCTGCTATCACTGTTGAAAGGAGATTAAGTTATACTTGCAAATGCAAGGAAGTAAGGGTATCCAGTGGGTGCTGCTGAGACTTGCTTCAGAACACCTGCCATATAGGCTGAAGATGAGACACTCAGGAAAACAGGGGGAGGAAAACCACCCAGCCAACTTTTAATTAACTCAAAAAAGCAGAAGAGCTTCAAAGGAATTGCACTGTTGTGCTTGGCCTCTTTTCCTATGCATTCTCATGTACAGAGTTGCTGCGTAACTTCAAACCCTGTTTAATTTTTTGCATTTCACTGGGAATGAGCATCATTACTGTGTGGCTGAATTGCAGATAGGATGGGAATCACTTCCACTTCTGCTGTACATGTTAGTGCTGCAGCAGTAGTGTTTATGATGTTGGATAAAGGCATGCCACAGTTTCTTGGTAAACACCTGTCCAAAGGTTTGCAATTTTGCTGTAAATGTAGGCTGGGAAAGTAGAAATCAGAAGTAAAGTTTACCTGTGCCTTTCACCCTGGTGCAGTGTGCTCTGAAATGGCAATTTTAAAGCAAAGCAAAAGAAGTCACTTCAATTTCAGAAATATGTTAAAACAACAAATATTTGTATTTCTGCCCTAATGTTCAAGGTGTTACAATGTGGGATAGTGCTACAGAAAGGCCCTGCACTGACAATTCATGTCTGTTGTCTTGGAGTAAATTAGGTCAGTCCAAATTAACATCAAGTGTGAGGATTTCCCATGCTCTATATCCCATGGGATCACATTGTTACTTGTAGTATTTAGAATACATGGGGATGATCCATAATACATATAAAATGGTCTATCCCAGTTTCAGAATAAAACTAGTTCACTGATTTGTATGAGGTACTTGTAAAAAGCTGCATGTAGCACAGGTAAAACTTAACATTGGTTCAAATGAATGGAAACTTCCAGGATCAGGCCTGACTAAAATCAAATAAATGAAACCTGTCAACTTCAGCAAAATTATGCATGGTGCTCACTGTGATCAATGAACACTGTTGTCTATCACTTTCCCGAGCACTGCTCTTAGTCTAAAATTACAATTATTTTCTCCAGGCATCTTAACCTTGAAAAAGGGTGCCTTCAGTAGAACCACTTTTTAAGAACTATCTTGAGGTTCACTAACAGTATTGCATACTCAAGGATCCTTACATTAGAATTTTCATAAATATTGTATACACTGAGTGTGTAATGTGCTGTGTTGGCTCCTCTGCAGTGCTGAGATCCATCATGTCAGCAATCAATGGTTTAAGGCTCTGACAAACAAAACTGAAACTGAGCAATGTAACAGGCTCTGAAGGACTGCAGTTGTCTTATGTGAGCAGAGCAGGAGAAGATGAGGGGTCTCACCCTGTGCAGCTCTGGTAAGAATGGTTCCAGAGGAGCTGCTTCTTAGAAGGAAAATATGGACATTCATGTTTCAGTTCTAATCACAAGCTATTAAAAAAAACCAAAGTCCCAAAAGTCATTCCATCAAGTGCTTGTACTATAGTAAAACAGGTAGGGAGAATAATCTAGTTTTTAGATTATGAGCCTGAGGCTTGATTCTTCTCTCACAAAAGTTTACTGAAACTTTATTTGATTGACATTAGTGGAATCACCTTTTGATAAAAGCAATTTTAATGGAAAGGTTCTAAAAGTTGGAGATGTGTACTTTATTTCCAGTTCTGCCACTGACCTCTGCCAAAGGCACTTACCCTGTTTTGTATTGGTCCCTCTTCGTAATAGAAAAGCAAATAATTAACCCACTTGATTCAAAGTGCTTTAAATTAGATGTGTAACAACATAGCATGAACAACATATGCACAAAACTGTAACTATGTGCCACACAAACATTGTGTGGCAGCAGCTGCTCCCAGGTACTGAGCTAAGCCTCATTCTTGGAACCTGACTACACCACAGGTAAGTTGTTATTAGCAGCAACTAAAATACTAAATTCTGGTGGACTTAGGCTTTGTGTAGAGAGTATGCTCATATTCATTTATTGTCCTCTCTGATATCCTTGGTCAATCATGATAATTTATATATATTTGTGTTTCATTTACTTGATTTCAAGGCATGAATAAGTAATGTTACCCAGATATTTTTAGAAGGAAGGAAATGAAACACCAACACCTATTATTTTAAACAGTAAAACTGATTTTAGTCTAGTACTGTACAGTATAATTGCAAAGGCACTTTAAAAAATTTTCATTCTTACTGTTTAAATATAAAACAGTTTAATATATACATAGGCACAAAGTTTAGCCAATTAACTTTGCAGATAAGTCATAATATTTAAACTAGAAAAACCCAGAGATTTACAGGTAAGCCTCTGAATATGGCATTGAATTTAGTTACAGCAGGTGACTAACATGGAGTATGGGCTTCCTTAGCCCAGGTACCAAAGCAAGAGGTGCAGTGAGTTTCTCTCTGAGCAGTCTGTCCCTCTCTAGCTATAACCACATCATGACATTGGCTCACTGCACTCTTTATGCTTCTTGTAAGAAAGGAACATACTTCAGAGGGAATGTTACAATAATCTTTTATTTCTGGACAAATGGCTTGATTTGTGTCCATGTTCCACCTTTAGCCATCTCACAAACTCTAATTCTTTTATCTTCCCCCATGGAGGCATTTGGACAGACATTGGGCCTGGTGATGCCACTGGAAATTTACCACTGAGTCCAAGAGGAACAGATGATCTGTCCATTACAGAGTATTGACTATTGTGCAGTAGCTGTGTCTGCCCTCTTAGCAGGGGCCAACCTGGATTTCCTTTTTCTGGGGGAACAAAGCAGCATTCTGAAAAGACAGCTAAACCCAATTCATGTCATATTTTTGGTGGTTTTTTGCCTAAATCCCCTTCATACTGAACTCGGAGGGGATTCTGAAGCTTACGTTACTAAGTGCAAGATTGGGTTCATAGCAATAAACTGCTGTCTTCTTCACTATTATATTAGACCAAGTCCTCATAAAGTATTTTGGGAACCAGACTGAAGAATTCTAAAAAAAACTATTAATATGCTGGGCTAAATTAGAGAAGCAACTGTGGTACCCTCTCTGAAAGTGAGATCAGTTAAAGGGCATTAAGGCTTCTGGGGTTTTTTTCATCTGTGTCTAGGTATCTGTTTTCTCCTCCATGCCAACAGCTGCCTGGTATTCTTCCCAGGGAAACATCTGTACTGCATAACATCATTCTGTCTTCTTGAAGGATTACATTTGATTTGGAGCATAGCTTTGGAAGCTTCATTTTTTTAATGTGTAATTGATCAATAGGGACCTTGGTGCCTTCATATCCTCTTCATGGGGTATTTTGTACCTATATAATTATACGTATAATTATCATGTTGTTCAAACTAGCTTTTTTTTTTTCACACATGTTCTATAGGTACTGTTGGAAGAGAAGGATACGAATCCTTTTCAGTCATCTGAAAGTAAATTAATTTTAAAAAACCCTCACAACCCAAAGTCAGCTTTCACAACAAACAATAATATTAATGGTCAACCTCCTTGCTGATTTTGTGCCATTACAAAAGATGTAAAAAGAAGGACAATTAAGCAGGTAATTTTATTTTCATTTCAACAATTACGCTTGGTCATGTTTAGTATAGCTATATATAGGA